AACAATTGTTGGTGCAACAGGGAATCACGAAACTTGGCCATTTTTTAAACCCATTGATTTTAAATTAGGAAAACAGTGGATGACTCACCAGTTTCTGTATTCACCTAATTCACCAAAGCCTCTCCTTGGGAGAGATCAACTGGAAAAATTAAATGCTGAGATCAAATTTAAAAATAGAAAAATAGAGGTTATTATTCTAGAGTCTAATTATGTGAAAGTTTCTGGTTTTGCATTGCAGTCTCCAAAAGCAGAAGTGATCCATCTGCAAAAATCACTTGAGGATGCAGTGATTCTGATAATATGGGCTGGAGGGGTGCCCAGGCAATCCAAAAGAGCAGAACCCATGAGAATTAAATTGAAACCTGGAGTGCGATCAGTAAGGCAAAACCAATACCCTTTGCAAATAGAAAGCCATAAGGGACTTTCTACCCCTTGTAGAAAAATTTATGAAATTTGGCTTGTTAAAAGAATGTGATTTTAAATCTAATACTCCCATTTTGCCAGTCAAGAAGGCAAATGGAAGGGGTTACTGGTTGGTATAGAACCTTGGAGCTTTAAATAAAATAGTAGAAGGTATACATCCAGTAGTAGTGAATCCTTACACCTTGCTAACTACCCTAAATGAAAGTTTAGAGTGGTTTACAGTATGAGATTTGAAAGATGCCTTTTTCTGTATCCCTTTGAGTTATGAAAGTTAAGAGTTCTTTGCTTTCAAATGGGAAAATCCAAACACAGGGAGGAAAACTCAGCTGACTTGGATGATCCTCCCACAATATTTGGAAATCAATTGGCAAAAGAACTAGAGGACTGGAGAAATCAAAACCCTACTGGAGCCTTATTACAGTATGTAGATGACATTTTGATAGTCACTGAAGCTAAACAGCAATGTTGGGATCAGACTGTGGCACTATTGAATTTCCTTGGACTGAGTGGATATAGGGTATCCAAAAACAAAGCGCAAGTAGTCCAGACCACAGTAACCTACCTGGGTTTCAAAATTCTCAAAGGACAGCAAAGGTTGGGACAGGAATGGAAAGAAGCAATCTGTCAACTCCCACAGCCACAAACGGTAAGCATTTCTCAGGATGTTTGGATGGTGTCAACTGGGGATCAGCAATTACGGGTTGCTAGTGAAGCCACTGTATGAGCTCTTGAAGACAGCTCAGAAGGAATTTATAGTCTGGACTGATAACTCACGAGCTGCCTTTTTTCAGCTCAACCAAGCCCTTATGCAGGCCCCAGCTTTGGGACTTCCAGACCAAACGTGCCCATTTGAACTATTCACCTATGAAAGACAAAATGTAGCACTGGGAGTATTATCACAGTTTCTGAGTGATCAAAGGAGGGCCATGGCCTACTTTTCAAAACAGCTAGATAATGTCAACCAAGGCTGGTTTAGTTGTTTGAGAGTCGTGGCAGCTACTTAATGCTTAAGTCTTGTTTTGCTATCCTGACAATAGTTAATTCAGTCTTGACTTGAGAGCAAAATTTACATCTAGTTTTATTAAAAAATGTGACCCAAGTGTTGCATAAAAGTGATTGTTGGGTGTGCACTCATTTACCTGAAAACACAATGAAGCCATTAGCTGTTTATGCATTTTCAATTCCAGGAGAAATTAATACTAGTCACTGAGGAAACACTTTTTTTACCAAAAAGCAGGCATACCAGTTAGTGTGCAAGTACCCACTAACATCTCTTATAATAATACACATGTACAAAGATGTAATCCCCCCTAAAGGAACAGGAAAATTAGATTGTATTAATGAAAGTGGTACATTTGTTGGAAATCACACACAATGTACTCAAACACTTATTGGGGAAATGAATTTTATAACAGAAATCAGTTGATACAAGCTGAATGCCTTTCTGAACTTGGCCTGTAAATGAAAATAAAGCCCTAAAGTGTTACCCCTAGGCTGGAAAGGCATTTGTACTGTAGGAGTCTAAGTCCCCAACATAACAGTAATTGATAAAGTGCCCTCAGGACTATGGATAAGGAGTTATTTGGGGCATACAAAACCAACCTTAAATGCTATAGTGGAGCAATCAACTAAATTTCATAGTTTTGTAAGATGGTTTTTACCTTGGCTAGGAGTGAGTGAGTGAAATAGAAAAAACAATAGCAAACATTTCTGCTACCATAGAATATATAGAAAATAGTACAATGGATGCCATTATTGTGTTACAGGTAGAAGTTAATAGCTTGTCACAAGTTGTTTTACAAAACCGAAAAGCACTAGATCTTTTTTTTAGCATGTCAAGAAGTATTATGCACTGTCATTAACAGCAACTGTTGTGCATACATTGATCAGAGCGGTAGAGTATCTACAGATGTCCAGAAAATTTGGAAAACCAAATTTTACATTGAGTAGCTCAAGATAACACTTCTTTAGGTTTTCAAGAAATCTGGAATACCCTGACCTCCTGGTTACCTGATTTTAGGTGGCTAAAGAAGCTCTTTAGAGTTCTAATCATAATAATCACCATTTGTATTTTAGCTTGCATCATGATTCAGTGTTGTAGTTGTTGCAATGCCTTATGCTATAAAATAAAATATAGATATCAGGACAATAATTCCTTTAAGGAATTTCGTTTCAAGAAAAGGGGGGATTTGATAGGAGAAACAGAAAAATTACTCAGAGCATCCCAGAATGCCCAAATAAGGAACAATAGAAGTCCTAGAGAATTAGATAAGGGATGTAATTTAAACAAACAAGATGTATGCTGAGTACCCAGATAAGATAAAAAACATTATAGCTTTTGTGGTGAAACACAATGATGCTGTGGCTGCTCAAGAACAGAGGTCAAGAAGAAGACCCAGAAGGACCAAATAAGGACTTCCGATAGGAGTGTGACCATGTAAAGCCAATTAATGAATATGTATTAGGTAAGCATGAATATCTAATGAATATGTACAGTATGTGTAATAACAAGCCCTGTTTATCTGTCATTTGGCACATTGCATTAGAGGAGCTATTCTATAGCTTTATATAGCTATAGCTTCTATAGCTATTCTATAGCTTCACTTATGAGTAAAGAATGCCCTTTTTAACACCTACAAATTGGTGTTAAAGAGTTTGTTTCTGCTGCTTTTCAGTATCAGTCTCAACTTGATTCTCCTCCCCACTGAGGGGGGCGGAGAGGGGGATGAACAAGTGTCTGTGTGGTACTTAGTTACTTAGGGGTGAAACTATGGCATTATTTTATAACAGTAATCAGTTGATACAAGCTGAATGCCTTTTTGAACTTGTGCCCAACCCCTGTTTTTTTCTACTCTACTAAATATACATTTATTTTACTTCTTTCTAGGTTTTGGAGTGGACAAGGAAGATTACTATGATTGTAGTAATTGGGGGAAATCATATTCTCAAAGAACAGACAGAAAAGCAACATTACCTAGTATCAGAGACTGAAACAGTTAATGACTTACACATTTTAAGATCACCAAAAGACTTTTGCAAACTGAAAAGAAACAGCTGCTCACCCAACAAAGCCTACCCCTCCCTGAATATGCCTTCAGATCAGATAAGTGGGTGCCATTGTCCAACTATCCAAGGTGCAGGAGATTATGCATACCTGAAGCTACAAACTGGATTTCAAAATAAGGGAAGAGACTAAGAAGAGGTAAATCCTGCAAAGGGGGATAAATCCTTCTTATCATGACAATGTTCTCCCTTTACATGATAACTCTGCACATCTAGCCTGGGCTATGCATCTCAAATGTTGGACCATGAGGGACCATGATTGATGCTGACACAATAGACAGCGGCAGGTGTCTCAGGAGATGTCAGAGACTCTTGGCATGTACCATGATACTATCCATTGTAAAACTCCCCACCCTGGAGTACAAGGAGTTCCCACCTGAGCTAGAAGTGTATAATAACTCATAACATCTTTGAGGTTTTTTTGAGGTTTTTTCGGGGGGGAAGGGGGGGGGGGGGGCTTTCCCCAGACTCAATGGATCAAGACCACCACTTCAACAAACTGACATGGAAGCTGCAAATAATAAGTTTCATCACTGCATCCAGTGGATGGTAACAATATATATACACATCTTTCCACCTTTATCCTTTCTTTCCCTTATGCATTTCCTTAAGTGTTATTTTTATGCTTTAATATTGCCATGCTTTATAGTGCTATATTGCTATGCTTTTAATAGTGCTATATTACTATAGATGCTTCGGTATTGCTATGATGTTTTAATAGTGCTATATTGCTATAGAATGATAACACTCAAAACAGTAACACACCCTTGAAACAAAATTGTTCCAAAATAAACCCTACATGTTTACAAACACCAATTATTCAGTGTAGTTTCACTCTAATCCACCCCAAGGGATTTATTAATAAGAACTTGGGTTACCCTCCCCTTCTGGGGTGGGTTGCAACACCTGGAAATAAGTAAAAATAACACAAATATCCATGTTATGGAAGAGGTGTACTAAAATACAGTATTTAGGAAATCAGAAAAACATTCAACAAAAACACTTGTAGTTGATGTTCTGATCATCACATTTTATCTACTGTTTTCTGAAAGAAGCTATTTAAAAAACAAACTCATTATGTTAATGTATGTAACATCTGGTGTAATGATTCTCTGAAGAGGTGTGCATATGGGGGGGCAAAGAGGAAATCAGCTAACAGAAGTGTTTCACTGATGTAAGTGGAGTGCTGAAAAAGTTCTGAAGTCAGAACTTTACATTATTTCTGGTTTTAGGCATAAAAATTGGCAGTAAGCTGAATTTTATTAGATTCAGTAAACATGTTCAGTCACATTTAAAGAAATATGAGCTGAATTGATAAATCAGTTTTAAGAGAATAGGAAGAAAAAATGTATTTGTTTCTTCACATAGAAGAATAATGTCAGAATCAAAACATGGTGTGGTTGTGACAATAATCAGAAGCAGTTTTAGGAGTTTAATAACTCTCACTAATGCAGCTCTCACTTGTATCAGTAACATTTTCAGTGGGCAAAAGACAGTAATAAGAGTAAACTTACCAACAGTAGCTCTAATTAAGGAGGAGGAATCACCAATGTTGTTCAAACATTCACTTTTAATGAAGTCGGCTACCCCATTTGGAAAGTTGTGAAAATGTGCTTTAACATTATTCTTCAAGATGAGACCACTCAAGGAACGTGTTGGCTCATCTGCAACAGAAAATAATTACATTTATAACTTCAATCAGCTCATAGGATAAAATGAATTTCCAGAACAATGCAACAGGATCAAAGCTTACAATGATAGATATTAATCTTTATTTCCTTATCTCTCCTTCCAAATACTCCCATTAATTTACATAGCAAAGTTTTTTAGTTTCAGAGTTCACTTGTGAGCAGACTCATGTTTAGTTCTTCAACCAAGGGCATGAGTAATTTGGTATAACTTTTGAAACATCCTGAAAGTGAGATGTGGATGTTCTACATAGAAAGGATTAGTTTATAGTATAAGAAAATTTAAATGTACAGTTTAGAGCAATCCTAATAAGCACATGAAGCTAATTTTAATCAGCATTTTAGCCTTTGGTCAGTTGTGCATCCCCAGCCTACTCACGGATGGGGTGGGGTGAGAAGCAGAAAAGGCTTTGGCTCTGTGTAAGCTCTGCTCAGCAATAATAAAAACATCTCTATTATCATCACTGTCTCCAGCACAAATCCAAAACACAGTCTCATATTGTGAAGAAAATTACCTCAGCCAAAACCAGAAAAGAAGCCCTGATTTTGGCAAGTAAGGATGTTCAAAGTTCATTTGCACCAAGAGTTACAATTTACACACAAATCTATTCTAGGTCTTCAAAACCATTAACATCCCAAAAGAAATATAAGCAAAATAAGAGATATAACTTTCAAATATAAAGTATTTTAAAACTAAGTTACGGCATCATAACACAAGGACTCTTAGCATACTCATAATGATTGACTGAGGGCCATTAAAAATACTTTCTATTGTAACCAGTGCTAGTTGAACAGAAATGACACTTTTCAAAAGAGGGGCTATTGCTAAAATTAATTTTAAACCACTGATTTTGAGTTCCAAAATCAGAATGCTATATATAAGAATAAAACAAAAGTATATTTCACTCTTCCTAAAGAAGCATTAATTTTCATGCTCTGTAACTATTAATGTATTGATTTACAAACAGAGCTTTTACATAGAATTCAGTAACTTCAAAAACCAGAAATCCATCCTATGCATATATATTTAAAAGAATTCTAAAACTTCGCCTATACTACAGGTTTTAAATACCCACCAATTTCTAAAAACTGTAAACATAAAAGTTCTTCCACTTGCACAGCACTGCATTTAAAAGGCCAACAACTTTTCTGGGAGAATGGACTTATGATTTAAAATAAAAATATTAGACTATGATTTTAAATAAAAATATTAAAAACTAGATGAGTGGACATCTCTTAACTACAGAATGTGGTTTTAGAGAGAGGAAAGGAAACACCATAGTAAATGTGACCCGATCAATCAAATTTGTTAAAAGCCCGACAAAGGAGGATTTAGATATTTTAATTGGTTCTGATTTGCGAGTGAGAAGCCCGGGCACCGCAGGTCAGGCGGGCACCGGGGCCGCCGGCGTGACTGTAGACGCTGCCGCGGGCATAGGTCCCGCCGGAGCGGCGGGAGCGGCTGCCACCGCAAGGGCTCCAGGCGCCGCCACCGGCGCTGCGGGCGCAGGTCCTGCGAGACAGGAGGGCGCAGCAGCTGCCGGCGCGGCCGCCAGCGCGGAACCGGCGGGAGCCGCAGCGGGCGCGGGTCCTGCCGGACCGGCGGGGCCGGCAACAGCCACGGGAGCAGCCCCTGCCGCGGCTGCTGCCGGAGCTATTGCCACGGGGGCGGCGGCTGCCATCACAGGAAAAGCGGGGATCGGACGCCCAGTGGACACCGCAGTGGGAGCCACTACCGCAGGTGCTGGGGGAAGTAGTGCTGGAGCAACGGCGGCAGGAGCTGCCGCGAGTCAGGCGAACAGAGCAGGGACCGCGGCAGGGGCAGGCGCAGAATACTCCACGGCTACAAGCAGGGCCGACTCAAATGCTCAAGATATCTTGGGAGAGACGGGCAAAATAGCTACCGCTGGAGGAGGAGGAGCGGAGGTGGCGCCTACAGGAGCGGTCGCCGCCCTGATAAACACCTGTGCTCCTGGCTCCACCATTATGGGTGGAGCCGGAGCCGCCTCTTCCCCATTCTAAGTCCCAGTCCCTTACGGTCCTTATCCCCCGCCACTTAGTACGTTGGGAGTGGGGTAATCTCAACTGCCCTTCCCCCCCGCCGCCCGCCCCGTATGCAGGGTTTCCCATTCTGGAAGAGAGGGGGCAGCATCTGGGGCGTTTGCAGCTTTTGCCCCACATCATCAGGGGCACGCCAAGGAAGAACAGATCATTCTCGGCCTCTGAGAGGAGGAAAAGGCAGGGCCTTCCCCCCTTTGACCCCTCGAGCATGAAATTCAAAACTAGAGAAAGTGATCTCACTGACACAGGTACAGAAGCCTCAGATGACAAATCAGACAGCACCTCAGAGGAGGAAAGAGCTCCCATAGTAAAACCAAAAACAAAGGCAAAGGTTTCCACGGTAACTGCGAAGGGAAGGAGGAGAAGGGTGAGGCTCTGTCAGATCCAAGCCTGGTGGCTAGGAGAACGAGAACAAGGAAAGGAATAACTGTTATAGAGGCTCCCGTGAGACAGGCAATGGGCAACCAAGGACCAGTTTTGATAAAAGTTCCTTTTTCTCAGGTTGAGTTACAACAGTGGAAGGCCTCAGTATGGACATATAGAGATAACCCAGAAAAGGTGGGTAATTATGTAGAAAGAGGAATAAGAACACAAAATCTGGACTGGTATGGCCTGGAAGTTATAATGGATACATTACTTGATAATATGGAGAAGGAAATGGTTAAGCGAGCTGCCTGAACTGGGATTGAGCTACTGCTAGCATCTGGACAACTCACAGGGGAACTTAGGGATATGTTCCCCCCAGAGGACCCCAAATGGGATCCCGATTTACCAGAAAAGAAGGAAGCATTGAAACGCTATCAGGATTGGGTAGTGTATGGGTTAAGACATGCTATTCAAAAAGCAGTGAAATGGTCAAAAACGTATCAGGTGAAGCAAGACAAGAATGAATCCCCAACAGACTTCTTGAATAGGCTGAAAGAGGCTATACGAAAATATACAGATGTGGACATCAATTCAGACCTTGGGAAAAAACACTTGCTCTATTTGTTCATAGGTCAGTCTGCAGATGACATAAGGAAAAAGTTGCAAAAGGCAGGTGAGAAGAAAGATATCGGTGAGTTATTGGATATAGCTTGGACAGTGTATTGGAATAGGGATCAGAAAGGCAAGGTAAAAGTACTGAAGGTGGTGGCAGATGACTGCCACACGTCTCACAAATGCAGTAACTGCCAGGAACGCCGCAAACACAATGCCCACTGCAAGTATTGTAAATGCAATTGCCAGCATAATAAGGGGAATGATCGGTGCTCTTTCTGTAAAAAGAAAGGACACTGAAGAAGGGATTGTCCAGATTTGAGGAGAAGTGGAAACCCAGTCCCTCAACTGGCTGTGGACCAGGATGGACAGGGTGTCTGAAGGGGACCAGAGGATTCTTCCCCAGCAGAACCTCTGGTTGTAGCTAAGCTGGGGGGGAAGAAGTTGAATTCTTGGTTGATGCAGGTGCAGCATTAAACACTTTGGAAGGGAAACTGAGTCATGATACTGTAATGGTGGTTAGTGTTACAGGGGTAAGTGAAACAAGGCTTTTCTTTAAACCTTTGAGATTTAAATTGGGAAAGCACTAGGTACCTTCTTCTATATGCCAAACTCTCTTAAAGCCTTTACTGGGTAGGGATCTATTGAAGAAATTAGAAGCCAAAATTAAATTTTGCAAGGGGGGGGGAATAAAAGTCATAATTCCTGACACTAAATATATTGAGGCAACTCCTTTTTTAATACAGGAGAACCACGGAGAGATCCCTGCAGAGGTTGAGAATGCTGTCATCCATATAGTGTGGGCTAGCGATTATCCTAGGAGGTCCAAGCAAGCAGAACCCGTAAGCATCACACTCAAACCAGGAGCAACACTGGTAAGACAAAAACAATACCCTTTGGAGCTAGAAAGCCGTAAAGGATTGGCATCCCTAATTGAAAAGTTTCTTAAATTTGGGTTATTGGTAGAATGTGAATCCAAATACAAGACTACCATCCTACTGGTAAAAAAGGCTGATGGTAAGAGCTATCGATTGGTGCAGGATCTAAGGGCAATCAACAAAATAACAGAGGATATACACCCAGTGGCCAACCCCTATATCTTATTGACCACATTACCAGATGATTTAGGGTGGTGTACTGCGCTTGATCTCAAGGATGCCTTCTTCTGCATTCCCGTGCTTAAGGACAGCCAAGAACTTTTTGCTTTTGAATGGGAAAATCCTGAGACAGGGAGAAGAACTCAACTCACCTGGGCGGTTCTACCCCAGGACTACAAGAACAGTCCAACTATATTGGGAAACTGACTGGCAAAAGAACTGGAGGACTGGAGAAGGCAGCAGCCAGAAACAGTTGTCCTGCAGTAGGTGGATGATATACTAATTGCTGCCAAAAATCAGGATGAGTGCATCCAGCTCACTTTAAGTCTTTTAAACTTTTTGGGACTGAGTGGGTATAGAGTCTCAAAAGAAAAGGCACAGATTGCAAAGGAAATAGTCATCTATTTGGGGCTTGAAATATACCATGAACATTGACGACTCAGCACAGACTGGAAAGAAGCCATCTGTCATCTGCCAGAGCCCCATACCGTACAAGAAATGCAGGCTTTCCTAGGAATGGTAGGATGGTGTCGCCTGTGGATAGCTATGGGTCACTAGTCAAATCCTTATATGGAGCACTAAAAGTGGACAGGGAAGGAGTTGTGACATGAACAGATGAAACCAGAGCCCCATTTAAACAGCTGAAACAATCTTTAAGGTCAGCTCCAGCACTGGGACTACCAGACCTAACTAGGCCTTTTGAACTGTTCACATATGAGCAACTAAATGTTGCTCTGGGGGTACTGTCACAGACCCTGGGAAACCAGCGAAGGGCTGTGGCCTACTTCTCCAAACAGCTGGACAGTGTCAGCCAAGGGTGGCCAGGGTGTTTGAGGGCTGTGGCAGTGACTGTTATCCTGATCCAGGAGGCCTGAAAATTCACCCTTGGGCAGTGCATTGTCTTGTATGTACCCCATGCAGTCCAAGCTGTGCTTGAGCAAAAGGGGGGGGCCACTGGTTGTCCCCAAGCAGAAATCTTAATTATCAAGCTGTGTTGTTGGAAGAGGATGATGTTACCCTGAAAAAAACATCTATTGTAAATCCTGCTATGTTTCTGTCCTCAATATTGACTGACAGTGTGCCTGAGCATGACTGTTTGCAGACCAGACCTTAAGGACGTGCCTCTGGAAAACCCAGACTGGGCCTTGCCAGTGGATGTTTCATCCCAAAAGGCAGAACTGATTGCACTGACAAGAGCTCTAGAACTGAGTGAGGGAAAGAAGGTAAATATTTGGACTGATTCTAAATATGCATTCAGCACTGTACATGCCCATGGAGCCATCTGGAAAGAGAAAGGGCTACTAATGGCCCAAGGCATTGGGATCAAACATGCAGACCAAATCCATGCACTCCTGCAGAGTATTTGTAAACCTGAGGAAGTGTCTATCATGCATTGCAGAGCTCATCAAAAGGGGAAAACAATTTCTTAAGTGGGAAATCATTTTGCTGACAAAAGGGCAAAAGGCAGCAATAGGGGCTGCAGAAAAAGGTATCCTAACAGGAATACCACAGAAGGAAAACAATCTGACAGGGTTCACCCAAAAATATGGTAAGAAAGACCACCAGTTGATTAAGTCCCTTAAAGCTGAAATCAAAGCAA